AGTCCAGCCCCCTGCAATGCAGGAATCTCAGTTGAAGCATCCAAGACAGATGACCATCCAACCTCTGCTTAAAAACCTGCAAGGAAGGAGTCCATAACCTCCTGAGGGAGTCCGTTCCACTGTTTGTTCCAAACAAATAAGAATGGGCGTTCAACAAACAAAGGACATTGTGTAGCTTCCTCATAAACTTTGTGCAAAAAATAAATCAGGATTAATGCTCAATAAACAAGTCATTTAGAAGTAACCAGGGTCTTAGACTGACTATCTCTTCTATTGCTGTATGTCTCCATCTGGATGAAACATAGTTTATTTCCATACTCCAGTCTCTTTCACTCTTCTCTTGAAGCTGTTTGCACTGCACTGTACAGGAAGAACTGATGAGCAGTCTAGACCGGCATTAAAATAGGTGATGAACAAGCCTCTCTCTCTCTTTCTCTTGACTCTATTAAAGAAAAGTTAAAAGTACATTTGCTCAAATAACCAGGAGCCTCCTCAAAGCTTTGGAAATGTCACTGTTTGAATGCTTGTTTTCAGTAGATATGATGCTGGCAGTGGGATATGCTTGTCAACTGTTCTATAATTTGCAGACAGTTGAATAAAAAGAAATTAAGAACAAAGGAAAATTAATGCTGACTTTTCTTTTTATCATGTGTTTGTATAATAGATGCTTTCTGAACATTGAGTCAGGGTAACTGAATGTATTTTCTGTCTGGATAAAACAGTTTCAGCAAATGGACCGGAGAATCCTTTTAAGTCATTTTCCTTCATCATGGCAGATGAAACACACTTTGCTATGTGTAGCATGAAATACCTGGAAACAGATGAAAGCTGCCTCTGTTCCAACCTCTCCGGTTAGTAGAAAGCTTCTTGCCAGAAGTCCTGGCACACATAGGTGTTTTGAAGATCTGATGAGGGTTCATTGCGTTTTGGAGTAATGCAAATCCATAAGAAATCTAGGTATCCTTGGGCTGTGATCTCTCTCCCTCCCTCTCTCTCTTTCTCTCTCTCTCTCTCTCTGTGTTACTATTTCATATACAATTTGTAGTTTTAAAAACTTTGTAACACATTACATTTGCTGCAACAGTTATGTGTTAGCACATTTGCAGAAGATTTTAAAGTATTTCTAACAAATCACGCTGCCACATTCATAAATCTCCTGGAAAATGGGGACAACAGAAGGTTAGTTATTTTTAGGGGACTTTAAAAATGTCTGTGAAACTCACATTTATTTGACACTTGCCCAGTAATTCAGCAATGTTACACACAGATGGAGCAAATATTTCAAAATGTCATTGAATGGTAAAACAGAGCTGGCGGAAAGTTGGCATTTTAAGCCTTATAACTTTGAAATGTTTTCAGTCGTGTATCTTATCTAACTGCATGTTTGAAACTTTTCAAGTTTCAGTTTGAAATCTGCTCTGGGAATGCTCAACAAACCTGACTTCAAATCTTCAAATCTGAGGCACCCTCTTTAGCCGATTTGCGGTGGGCAGGGCAGGGAGAGGAGACAAAACAGAAGTCCTGGTGCTCAGATGAAACCTCACTGGGTAGCTTTAGATACAGCCCTTTGATTTTGTCTGAGCTCTAAGTACCCATCATAATGGATTTTCCTCTGCTTGATGGGACACAAACTCACATGTGGACTTTGAATTCACCCATCAACTGTGACTCTTACATTTAATAAATATGATTCCACAGTAAAACAAACAAACAAACAAACAAACAAACATCACCTCATTCATATATATAACTTTTGAATCTGTTGCCTTCCATGGTTCTAGATTCAGGTAGGTAGCTGTGTTGGTCTGACGCAGTCAAAACATACTGTATATAAAAATAAAAAATTGTCCAGCAGCACCTTAGATACCAACTAAGTTTGTTCTTGGTATAAGCTTTCGTGTGCATTCCCATTGAGTCAATCACCCATCTCCTACTACCCTCCTGAGAAAAACCCCTCCCCACCCTCCCACTATATATAAGGGTCTGGTAACTTCTGTTTCAGTGTATCTGAATAAGTGTGCATGCACACGAAAGCTTATACCAAGAACAAACCTAGTTGGTCTCTAAGGTGCTACTGGACAATTTTTTATTTTTTATATATATTTTGAATCTGTGATAGTCTTAAATACCCCAATACAAACTTCTGGAGTACTGAAATTTGTCCCATTCCTTGTCTTTCAGAGACAAGCTAGATTGCTGTATATGATTCAGGATATCTCCAACAATGTTTAGCTGAAGATTTTGTAGGCTCATGAACATGTGCTTTATGTTTCAAACATCAATTGTAACATTTTATAAGACTGTGTGCAAACAGGCATGAGAATGAATTAAACAACTTACCACAATTTGCTATCTTCTTTTGGGTTGACGTATCTTCTTTGATTCATGGTCTTCATTAGGCTATGCTGCTGTCTTACCCTGCAGTCCAGGAAAACGTTGGAAATAATTTCTCTGTCTCTAATCAATTAGGGGATAATTTGGTTCCTTTTTAAGAAGTATCCTTACTAGTGTGCCTTCACAGTGTCTTCAATGCTTGTCATGTTCCTCGGGGCTGTTTGAGATGTTAACATTTGTTTTGCAAGTTCTGATCAGATGGGTCAGGTTCTTGCTATTATTAGAGTGATAGCTTGGGCTCACCAAATAAAATACAAGGTTTGTGGCCTGTCCTTCATAGCAGTCTTCCATACCATGTCATGAAGTTGCAAGGACCAGAAATTGTATCTAGTGAAGCTGTAAAGCTTAAATATTAAAGATGTGCAAGGCTCATGTCATATTAGAAGGTGGACATTAGTGTTGTACCTTGACTTCCTGCATTACACTAATTCAAATATTTCCTAAAGAGACACTCTGTGAAATTAAAATGGAGATTACAAAGCTTATGGTTTTCAATATGTTAATGTAGTTGCAGTAAAGGCAATGCTATTGCCCATAACGTCTATTATATAACCTCTGTTGAGGATTTCTTCTATTTATCTCAACCCCTTGCCACCAAAACTTGTGCTGTGGAAAGAAAGGATAGTAAAGAGAGGTAGGCAGCAATAGGGGTTTTTTAGCACAATGGCATCTAAATCCTCTGGTTGCTGATGAATTCCAAGTTCTATCTTCCCCAACTATTGCCCATGTTGACTGGTTGTTTATGGGTGTTGGAGTCTATCAATGTCTGGAGGGCCACAGTTTCCCCACCTCAGAGATACACAAACTAAAATAGCAGCAAACCATAATGGAAGACTTAGGTCAGGCATCCCCAATCTTCAGCCCTCCAGCTGTTTCGGACTACAGTTCCCACCATCCCTGACCACTGGTCCTGTTAACTAGGGATCATGGGAATTGTAGGCCAAAACATCTGGAGGGCCACAGGTTGGGGATGCCTAACTTAGGTTTTATAAAACTTGGTGCTTAGAGTTTTGATGCACTTTGGGCTCCACACTTGATTCCCTTTAACAGCAGCAGGACATGCAGAAAAGTAAGCAAGCAATGCTTTTACTATCACTTTCATCTTCCCTGCCAGAACCAGTTTCTCTGTAATAAAAAATAAAAAATTAAATGTTTTTTATGTTGTAACCCACCCTGGAATAATAGGGTGAAGGGTAGAAGATAATAATAATAATAATAATAATAATAATAATAATAATAATAATAATGTTGATGTGTCAAGCTGCTGTAAATACACAAAAAGTAGGGCTAAATAAAAAGGTGAAAATTTTCTAGATACTTAATTTTACCCTTTTCATTTTCCATTGGTGAGCTGAAGAGGAGAGCTATTTGATCAAAGTTAAGGCTTAGCCAGCTTCTCCCAAAAAACCCAGCAATAATAAATTAAAAGTGAAAAAGTGTCCTGCTCTTTGAGTCCATTATAATAATCACCATTTACTCAACTGCTTTGTTTATAAAGGCAGACATTAATAATGACTACTAAAATGCAGTTAGAGAGTTAAACAAATATGCCCACCCACCCCCAAAATGTTTTCTTAAAACTCTGCTCTTGAATTTCCCATATATTATTTGGATACCACATATTTGCAGAATATTCCATAAATATATGATATCTGCATATAGCACCCGATGATATTTGCTTTCAATATTTTGGTAGATGTTACTTGACAATAAATAAATAAATGATATTTAGCAATGGATTACATTTAGTGCCTGACAGCATTTTGTAATTATCATGCAGTAGTATGTAGAACATTATAGTTTATCAGAGTTCCTATCTGAAGCCTGTCAAACCACCAAGAGTTACCAACAAATCTAAACTTAATTGCTCCAGTATCAAATTCTGAGTTAAAATTACTCAGATGCGAGATGGCAAATATCATTTCAGTTCTATATGCCGTTGCCCCAGTTCATTTGGAAGTCTAATGTACACAATGAAGCAGTCTAGTTTGAGGGGGAATCACACCTAATTCTTAGTCTGGTCAGTGTGCACATAGCCCTGTACACAGCTGACATATCACCAATCAGCTGTTTGAGAGGAGAAGCATGAGGTATATTCAGTTGGAAAGCTCACTAGTGTTTGTAATATAAAGCCATTTTGAATACATTGCTGAAAGCTTATTTGTTTCAGTAAAAGAAAAGAGTACTACAAAACTCAGTGTAAGAAATTATTATACATTGTTTTATGTATCTTTATATAAAAAGTTACAATTAGCAAGCATATGACACAAAGAAATGGATAGGAACAGCAGTAAGTATGGATGCATGCTTTTTACAATGTATCTCATCAAAGGGATTTTTGTTGTTGTTTGCCAACTCAAATATTCAGCAACATACATGCAAATCAGTTCCTCGTTGTTGAGTTCAGTCATATTGTTAGATTTATATATCCAACAAATATATCTACTGAAGTGATTGTGAATGGATAAATAGTACCTGATTTAATCATTTTATTCCTGAAACTGGGTTATCTTTTCTTTGTAACAAAACAGAACAAAATAAATATAAAGAAAGAAAGAAAACAGATGATGACAATAATAAGAATAAATGATAGCAATGATAGTAATAAGAGTCTTATTGCCATCCATTAATTTTACTCATTACTGACTGATGTGTGGGTTTTTTTCTCATGAAATTGGAATAGCTGGTCAGAGTCCAGAACATCTCTAGCTTGCAGTTCCAGGGTCGACATTTTCACAATTCACTGTAGTATATTCAAAAGCACCCAGGATCGCACTATTCCCAAGCAGTCTACATAATGAAAACAATGTACATATAACAAGTTCAATGTGAATAATTGTCTTTGACAGGACATATAATATACAAGTACACAATGAATGACATTATTTTGGTGCCTTTAATTCCCTTTCTTTTTCTATAAAACCAATTTGTACTCATGTAAGCCCCTTTCATACAAATGTCTGCATATTCCAAGTATTTGTGGTGGTGGTGGCGGTGAGAGGCTCACTGCACATGTAGAATATCCACACTTGGGCTGTTTGTAAACTGCTCTATATTGCCAAATAAATGTGCTCATAATTAAGATGAATGACTAGAACCTTGAAGACAGCTAGGCATATAAGTGCTTCATTGACTTCATTGTCCACAAGACTGCAGGCGACCTGATTGTATGACCTGCTTTTAAATAGACAAAAGGGAAATGTTGTAGACAGAAATTTGGCACCAGGACACAAAGTCATTTAGGGTGTTGTTTTGGTATGCCAGTAATTGGAAAAAGTGTGATCACAGTAGTACAACAGTAGTCTGACCTCCAAATTCCAAAGCACAGGTAAGTGATTGTGATCAGCAACTCGACTGGCTGGTAGGGCAGTGCAAAAGTTCTTCAGTTGCAAGTCAAAATAGATCTCAGACTAAAGAACATGTAATTCCATCTGAGCCAAATTCCAGAATAAAAAATTAGCTGTCAAATAGAACTATCTATAAGAAGGTAAGAAGAAATATTTGAAATTTTTTGGTGTGAATAAAAATAGTTGACTCAAAGTGAGAATTCTGTCTCTCCACCACCACCACATTCACTCAAGGCCTGAAAATACTGGCTAAGTAATTTTTGTAGTCAAAATGTTTGTATGCATAAAGCAAAGAATGACTTATGACTTCTCCCTTCTCCTGAAAAATCAAAAGCTTGTCTATCTTACTAATAGTTAAACATTTTGTTTCTATGTGTTTCACTACATGGAATACACATCCATCTGAAAAAAACACCCAAACTGCAGCTCAGATACTTATAGTGACTATTTGGTGCTCTTATGTGTGGGATAACCAGCCTCATATAATCAACATGCTTAAGTCTAATTAATATATGAAGGGGTTAATATCATAGAGTAAACTGTCCTGCCAGACTCAGCTATATCCCCTTCCCTTACCTTGGGAGGAAATGGGTAATCAAGCCTATTATTCAACCCCCAGTCTACCTGAGAAGTTCAGGGTGTAAAGAGGTTTCAGCTGGTGGCTCCAGCTCACACTACATGGCTTTCATGAGCCACTCTTGAGTTCCTATACCAATAATTTAGGAACTTTCACCACTCTATAACTAAGTCAGGTGTTACTGCCTGTGCAACTTTTTCTGAATGCTATATGGAAAAGAATATGAATCTGACCTTTGGAGAGCTTGTAAGTAAACCATTTTTAACTTACCAAACGTGGTTATTTTCAGTGCTAGGGAAGAGGGAAACCTTGGAACTCACTTTAAAGGGCATATTTTAAAGGTCTAATAGCCTATAATTCCATTCTTCACTTTGCTGTATGTTTTGTGATTTTTAAACCTCTGCTGGGGTTCTCTCACCAAGGAATACTTGCCCAAACTTGAATCCTGGCATCTAGGAATTATCCTTTTATGCCTATTTTCCTTCCCCATGCACCAACATTAGGTTTCCTTTCAATAAGAGGAAAGGTCAGTGTGCTCAACAGGAATAAACATGGGGAGTTTTCCCTAGCATAAAAGTTGTTGTTTTTGTGTCAGTCCACACCTACAACAGAATAATATGAAGCCTTAGGTTGTGGCAGTAATAGTTTTGTATAGAAAACTGTCAGCTAGATGCTGACTGTAGAGATATTAAGGGGGAAACAAAAAAATAAAATCATGTGTCCAAACCCTCCAGAAAACTGTAATTAGTGCTAGCAAAATGAAAATGCAAATCAATATAAAAGGAACAAGTAGATTAAATTCTTACAAGCTGTTAACCAAGCCCTTTTCCAACATCATAAATTCTAAATGACAATACAGTGAGATAGCAGATGTCTTCATATCTTAATTTAACTAAGCATTTAAGTGGCATCAAACAAACAGCCTGATTCACAGCTGTTGGCAGCGGAGTGTGACCTGGTACCAGTGCTGCTCTCACAGCAGGGACAAAGCACTGTGCATGATCCCCAGCTGGGAGTTACAAATTTATCCCCTGGCAGTTCCTCTCTGGTTGGTTATTCAAGGTAGAAAATTGTTGCTTAGACTGGAGATCAAGTGTAAATTTTGCTGCTTCCTACATATTCCCAATAGCTGGGGGCCATGCATACAGCATATCCAAAACAGCAATGCAGGGAAGAGACAATTCAGGGTATTAGACAGTTGGTCAGACAGCCAGTGTGGTGAAATGCATAGAGCACTGAGGTTGAAATGGAAATACTCTGGTTTAAATCCACACTCAGTCCATGAAATTTGCTAGCCAGTCCTGAGTAGGACATCACCGGTCTTATTTCCTCATGGGGATGTTATGAGGATAAAATTCTTCATACATTGCTCAGGAAGCAATGGGTACAACTAGGGTAGATATGCTGACAGATCTAAATTCAGAGCTCCCTAAATTTAGAACTCCCACAGCGTGGATCAGGCTGGAAGTTATTACCTATTGAAACACTTTACACAATCGTTTTCTTAAATAAAGGGGGATGTTCATGCCAAACACTTGTTTAGAATTCAAGCTTGAGATGCAGATTATACTTAGCAAGGATGGTCTAATGCATCTGAGGGTACCAATTTAATTTATTGTATGCATTGTTTAAGTTATAGCAGCTTCCTGCCTATAATTTTAAATTCTTTGTATGCCGAAAGCTTAGCACCATTTTCAAGCAAAGCAAAAGAAAATGAAGGAAAAAACAACAACCCCCACACAGGCACACACACACACACACAGGCACACACACAGAGCAAATGATATACAACTACTAGACATTTTCAAAGAAAACAAATGGAATGCAAGAGATGATGAATTGGGAACTATATATTTGTTCACTTACCTTCAGTTTGCCTTTTACACCCTAGTTGTGTTGTACTCAGATTCATGTTTGTTTAGAGACCCAATGAGGCAGAACCTGGAATGTTATGGCTATTTCATTCAACATAATATTGTTTGCATAGAAAAAAAGAAATATATGCATATACATTCTTAAATGAAGAATACTTTACAAACCCTGATCAAATTGATCCACGACACTTAAAACTGGCATGCAGATTGACAAAAGTAATGCTCTCATAAACAAGGTCAACCCTCAAAGTGCCCCATCAACTCATCCCATTTCAAGTTGGCAGGGCTGAAGTTGACAAGATGCTTTGAGGTTTTCGGATACCCCATGGCCTAGACGTACAAAATGAAACATTGTGGAGCACATGAACAGAACATTAAAACACAGAGAAATAAAGCATGCATATGAAACACAAATCTATTTTTAAAAAGTTCTGGCTGTTTCCAAATAAGTTGTAACATAAGTATTTCTCTTTTTGCATTTACTTGCAAATTTCTAATCATTCTTATTTACAAGCATTCAAGGTGCAATACACAGTATAAGAATCTCCGTGCTAGTCATTAAAACAGAAATCATGCCAGACTTGAATCAGAAAACTCTTCTCCACTACATTTTTTCCCATAAGCAAATCTAAAAGAATATCAAGCTGAAGCGATAAAAATTATCCTGTGGTCTAAATGCCAAATAAATATGACAAGCAGTGGTACTATGGTCAGCTACAGAAATCGTACTGTAATACTTTGAAATATTGTCATTTATTACATAGAAAACCATGTTTCATGGAAAAGGAGTTTCTCCTCATCAAACTATCCAATTCAGGTTTTCTTGAATATAACTGAAAAACTGTAGTGGTTAGTGTTGTACTAGGAACTGAGAGACTAGGGTTCAAATTCCCACACAGCCATGAAACTGACTGGGTGACCTTGTACTAGTCACTAATTTTCATCCTAACCTACCTCACAGGATTATTGTGAGGATAAAATGGGGGGGGGGGAGAGAGACTTTTGTACACCACCTTGAGCTCCTTGAAGAAAAGATAGGATACAAATTCAGTAAGAAATAAACAAAAGTAATCATGTGCATACTGATTTTTCAAAAGAAATCCCAACTAATTTTAGCTAAGAAAAAGTCTTTGGTATGGTCAAAGTACCTGCATTTTCTTATAGTTTTGTATTTAAATAAAATTAAAACACGAATAAATATTGACATCAGTATGGAGATTGAGCTATTTTTCATGAGCTGAAAGAAGGGGCAGAAACAGATGGCCAAACTGTGTGACCTGAGAGATCCATAATTAGGAGAAGGCTTAACCCTTTCCTCCCTTTTCCCCCACTCAAGTGGCAGCTATTAGATCTGGATGTGGAGAGAAGGATACAGATGCCCCCCATTCCTGTCATCACAGAGCTCATAGCTGCTTTAGGATGGGAGGGAAAGGTCATCAGGAAAAGATGAAGGAAGGAAAGGAGTAAACTTCCTTTCCTGGGTTGCCACTTCCCTGGTTGTCAAACCAGAAGTGTGGGGCTGCTGATTAGGAAAACAAAACAAAACAAAAGCTAAGGGTTGAATCCAGTGCTGAGTACAATGGGACTTCCCCATCCTTTCCTCTCCCTGTGGACCCTCAAAACCTGCTCTGGAGTGTCCCCAATCCATTTGGAGGAGATTTTGAGGGTGTAGCGGACAGGAGAGAAAATTTTCATAGCAGAAGCCTCATGTGCTAGCAGAACGGCAGCACTAGGTGTGATCCCAAAGCTGCAGCTGCATAGGCAATCCTTCACGTGGGTTTCCTGTTTCACATCTAATTTGGCCCGGAAGTGAAAACAAGCAGAGCGAGAAAGAGTCCAAGAAGCACATTCACACAGCATGTTTTGATCTGGTTCTCAACTATGGCTGCAAAGGGGTTCCCATGCAAAACTGTCATGGATCAGAGTGACAGCCGCTAGTCGGTGTCTTAGGATATAAACGTTTGCCAGGACAGCTTTGGATTCTCTGCCTTTGCTGTTTCCATGCAGTGTTTGCATGATAACTCCCAGCACTCCTTTTAGAGCAATTGCTACGGATAAGCTCATCACAAGCTATGTGAATGGATCTTAGAAAGTAAAAGAAAGTAAAGAACCGATATAAATTAGAGAAATAAAGAGGGAAGAGTTAGGCTTGAACCCAGTCCTCATACAATAGTCTTCATCAAAAATCTATTGATACTGACCGCTGGACAGCTTTATCATGTCTGGATAGCCTGTGACTCGTGGTTGGTACCTCTTCGATTTCATCTATCTCGCACGCATCTGCAGCATCTTGTGAGTAGCTATGCTTCATTACGAGGATATTTCTTCTGTTCATGGGCTGTATGAGAGGCTTTACAGGCTGGGGTTGAATTTCTGTCAAGATAGGCGTATCTCTTGTGCTGAGGTTACTACGGCTGCCCTTAGTGCTAGATAACTGTGATCCACAGTGGTGGTCATGAATGCATTTTGAAGATGATCTCCGCAGTTTATGATAATTTTCAAAGTCATCTGCAACGTCTGCAAGGTCCGCTGAAGCTCCTGTCCCTCTAAGAGTGCATAACTCATAGTGAGGAGGCTCAAACACCTCCTGGAATACTGTTTGATCAAAGTCTGCTTTCCTCTGGACATATTTTTTACGAGGCTGCTTGATCTGTACTATAACAGAGATAATGATAAGGAGGACCACAATACAAGAGGTCACCCCAATTATTGTCCCACTGGTATTGGTAAGCTGGTCCAGTATGTTGGCTTTTCTTTTTTCTGTTTGATGGGGAAACATAAAAATAAAGAAAGAAAGAATTAATATTCTTTGTAAATAAACAAATAGTTACCACATTGTTTTTGGCAATTATCACCATATTCTTTGTAAGCTAATATAAGAATGGCTAACTGGAACAGAAAGTTGAATAGGCGGGACAATCCTTTATCTTGATGGTGAGGTGATTCACAGTGCCAAATTCCTTCATGCAGTTGGAAAATTGATCTACCTCTATAGTGGGATTCACATGAAACCATGCAGTCACAGGAAGGAACCTTTTGATTTTTCTATCTCAAGTATTTCCGCCCTGCTTTTCTCTACCAAAATGTTCAAAGGACCTAACAAAAATAACTAAGGGTGCTTCCAGACAAGTGTTTTTTGGAGAGTGTGGGTGGATTTGGTGTTTTCCAAGCATGGAAATTTCTTGCAGCGTCCAAATGATGCTGTCATCAAAATTTCAGCAAGTATCCTCCCGATTTAATCCAGATTTACCCTTTCCATTGAGAATCTAAGAAGTTTTTTTTAAAAAAAGCCATCTCAGTGATCCATTTACACTATTAAGCCCCTGTCTGGAAGCACCCTAAGTTTGACAATATAATCTGGTTATAGCTGTAACTTTGCTGCCTAGTGTGAGTTGCTTATTAGCGATATTCTTGGATGCATGATGACAACCTTCAGTATGCGAACTAGCAGCTTAAAGGTAATTTAAATAGGAATGCTTCCTTAACCTTGAAAACCATCTCAACTACTAACATTGATATATATGAAATCACTGGTATTAGTTAACACTCACCTGTCTCAGGTGGAAAAGCAAGAATTATTACAAATAAGATTTCAAGTAAAGGGGGTGGGGAATCTTTTACTATGAGCCGTTGCATACCTTTTTGTTATATCATACATTCCAAGCTTCATAAATATAGCTCTTCATAGCATCACTGCTCTAGACCCAAAGGATAATCTTCACAGGCTTCTTGTCTCAGCCTGTTCATTCTGGTAGCATAAATTGCACTTGCTCTGCTCCACTGGCTATGTGATTATCACTATATGCTGAACTGTCTTCCAAATACTGCCAAGTTTTATTATAAGAAAAACAGAGGTTTTGTCCACAAAACTGAAAAGTCTACTAGACTGAATGACTCATTGACACATTTCTGTTGAAACTACCGTTGCAGGTGCCTCTCAATGGGAGGAGGAACCACTGGTGTGAAGATATGGGGAGCACTAGGAGTGCAGTCCAAGAGGAATGCTGGCCAGGAAAAAGCAGTGAACTTTCAAGTCTACCTCATAGCTCTATGTGAGAGGTTGAACCCAGAGACTATAACTAGTGTAAGTCTTCCTTAAAAGGGCATTTTTGTGGGGTGGGGGACAGGACCATATAGGGAAGACTTGAGCAGGAGCCTAACTCAGTTCAGCTCAGTCACGTGACCTGGCTGAAAAGGTAGTGCAAGTCAAACTACTGTATATTTTAAAGGCTTGTTTTCCTTCCAGCTTGGGCTGGCTCTGCTGTCAATATCTTTGCTCCAGAACAGGGTTTGGATCTGGTCCAACTTTACATTGGCTCAACTTGTGCCAGCTTGCTTTATGCCAGCTTCTTGTGCTCCCTAAGCTACAGTTTCCAATTGATAGCGAAATTTCTTCCCTGAATCAGGGTCATGTATTGACCAATCTTAATCAATGACTGGATTTAAATCAAATGTAAGTCACATCCCATGAATGACATAACAGCTCTCTCTATATATATATTTTTTAAATTCCCGGCAAAGGAATATATTTTTTGCCCAGAAGGTTTGCCCAGAAGGTTGAATGCTATGTTTAAGATCAATTCTTTGCACAGCAAACTAAAATGGTGAAGGATTTCTATTCATTCAGAGTGATATCATATACCATTAAAAATGTTTTCAATTTAGAATAAGTAGCAATGCTTAAAGTGACAGGATGCTTTCTTCTCCCTGCAGGAAGGAAAAAAATCAATATTTGGCCCTTACTATAATTTATTTATTACTAGAATGCCTAAGGAAAATGAGTCAATGCAACCCTAAGTTCTGTGAACAGAGATAAATCAAGTCTCTTAATGTGCTTAGCATATTAGAAAACAAAACACACAGAAACAAGTAGAAAAGTATGTGGAAATTAAATTACTTCCTTGGGTAAAGTTAAGGCGCAAACTGATAGGAGATGCAGAAGGATAGGAGATGAGGGTGCAGAGTAGGTTTACAGCTAGCTCTTTAGAAAAATTGTGAAGCATTCCTGAATGGTCTTTAAACAACGGAAACTGAAAGGTTTATCAGGAGCTCTGTGATAATTTGAACATAGGCATTGGTGTGTTTATCTGTGGTCCCTGCCTCTGTTGCATTTTTTTACTTATTTGACTATGCACTTTTATATCCTATTGTGATTTTAAATTGTTGTAAGATGTCCTGAACCGTGCAAAGGCACTATGAAGACAGGACTGAAAAACTTACCTACATACACTTTGGCTTAGCAGACAGTAAGAACAGTATGCCATGAAACCCTTTTCATTGAAGGAAGCCATTTTAACAGCCAGGTATGCGATCCCCTGTTCGATCTGTCCTTTATATCCCTACTCACACTCAGTGAAAATATCAGGCTAGCAGACATTTATCTCCATGTACAGACTAAATGCTTGGAGATGGATAAATGCTTGGAGATGGTTTCCCCAGCCACTCTGGGTGGCTTCCAACAAAAGATTAAAAATGCATTAAAACATCAGTCATTAAAAACTTCCCTAAACAGGGCTGCCTTCAGATGTCTTCTAAATGTCAGATAGTTGTTTATTTCTTTGACAACTGATGGGAGGGCATTCCATGGGAGGCCCATGCCTACTGATCCTGCCAAATATCATGTTCCTGATTCCAGTAGCGTAGCATGGGTTGTCAGCACCTGGGGCAAGGCAAGTAATTTGCGCCCCCTAACCCGTGGATTTGCGCCCCCTAACCCCCAGATGTTGCGCCCGGCCCCCCCTGCACCCCCCACGCTACGCCACTGGAGGGACTCCCAAGAAGGTGAAGCGGGACTTCACCCCAGGGTATCTCGGAAGCCCTCGAGGCAGCGACGCTTCCACCCCTGGAAACAGCAGGAAGGGAGAGCGCTCTTGTGCCCTGGTCCTGCTTTGAGTGCTTCTCATTGACGCGTCTGCTTGGCCACTCACTCTACATGGGCCCTTGTGGCCTTGATCCAGTAGCCGGGTCCTTCTTTGGAAAGAGCGAGCGCCTCCCTCCGCCCCCGCCACACGGAGCTCAGCCTGCACGTGGGCATGGCGCGCTGCTCTCTCCAGCTTCCTCCCGGCCGGGCCAGCGGCTCCACCTCTTTTCCTTTGCCTTTGAGCCGCTTAATTCCCAGCAAGCAATTAGCAGGCTCGCTCCACCTCCTCCTCCTCCCGGCTTTGCTGCTGCTGCTGCGAGGCTCTTTTCCTCCACCGACGGCGCGCTGCGCCTTGGAGAGGTTCCCGCTTCCTCGAGGGGGGCCGGCCAAACGCGCCCCCAAAAATGTTGCGCCCGGTGCGGCCGGCACCCCTGGCACCCCCACGCTACGCCACTGCCTGATTCTAACAACTATGCATGTGGCACTATGTCTGAAAAGACGTAGGCTTTCACATGTCCGGGACCTGCACACAATGAGTTCCTAATCACACCTGACTGCTAATTCCTCCTAAACCCAGTCCTAAGAGCTACCAGTTACAGAGCGAATATATCTGAAGGGGAAATAAAAACAGGATACAGAATTCATACATTCCCTAATGGGGTAGTTAACCTCCCCGCCTCCGTACTATACTTCCTAATTAAAGAAGAAATAAGCTGGTGATGTTTGCCACTTTTCAAGAACAAGGCATTCATTTACACAGCATTTCATGGCATGCTGTGAATATGTTTCAAACTTTTAATTCAGCTTGATATCCCTAGGAGACATGGCTCTGAAATGAAATGCATTTTTAGAGCAAATATTGATAGCTGCTGACTTGCTGGCAGGCACCTTTACTTGTGATCAGCATGATATTTGAAAATGTATCTCCATGACACAGTAGGCTGCTGCTGCTATTGCTGCAGCTACAGATTAGTTTCAGGGTCTTAGAACCATTTCATGAAGGATTGGTAACATCATCAGACCACTTTTCAAAAGGTGAAGGCAATTTATGCAACAAGTCTGTTTAGTCCATGTCACGTGTGAATTGTGTGGAGGGGTTCTACGTGTTGAAAGGGACAGATACCATGGACTCAGCTACATTAGGAAGAAAAAGCGTTTTATATGTGTTATTACACTGTGACACCAGATGGCACTGTGAAGTCCCATCTTTCTCCAACGTGATTTCCCACTTTGATGTTTACAACACGTTTTTCTGAAACACTTTTTTGATGTGTAGGTCTAGCCCATGATAGGAAATGTGTATCTGAAATACATGAACTCATTCAGACAGAATGGAAAGAAGATGCATGAAGCATATAATTGTCACTACTGTGTTAAAGCTTCCCCGTTGCTCTACATTTATCAAATCCTTGTTCTGGCTTTGTTCTATATAGCTATACAATCTTTATATATCAACTGTTTACCTGCATCCCATCTCTATCATGAGTTTATTGGAAGGACACATTTAATAGTGGCATACATTCATCACAATCAACTTCCACTTGATAGCAAAGAAAACATGGCACTAATGAGCATAAAGTAGCATCTTTCTAATTCCATGTCCCTATACTTATGCATTACCTTTGCAGTGGTTTTCATCCCATGGATACACACAGTTCTGGAGTCCATTGCAGACCAATGTATTATTAATACACATGTTACTATGGCAAAAGAATGTGTTGGCTTCACAGGGGGCTAAAAAAAAAAGGAAGAAAAAAACGCATCAGTAGGACTCATAGAGTATTTCCAGCCTCCCATTCAATACCAATAAAGATGTCATATAATCCAATACACCGCAGAACCTGGATTTTCCAACTCTTTTTTAAAGGTGTTTAGCCCATGTAATTGTAAATAGAGGCTTGAAAGTGTGTAGACAATTCTAGTGTAATCCCACAAAACATAAAGGGTCCCAAATAGAGAGAGAGTTCAAATATAGTGGCTTCACTCTGTACTCTGTAACTCTTTACAAGTCAAGTCCTTTATTAAGGTCATAGACCAGCATAAGCAAAACATCTACATAAAAAGCTCTGTACCATGATTAGCAGAAACAGAAAAATATGAAAAAACAAGTACTGCAGATTTACTTACTTTGTATCATTTATATAGGCTTCAGAATTTCTCAGCACAAAATTCATTTCATAATATATAATTCATGGCCCTAACAACTCACATTAAATGCCAAAATGAATTGCAAAGGTTCACCACTTCTTAAATTGTAATTCTTATAATGGCCAGCTGGCATTATGAATATGTGTGTATGGGAGAGAAGGGGTAATAATAAGGCTTTTCTGGAATTCAAAGCAGTAAGTTTCGCCACTGACCTCAGTAGGATGCAATGCTTGTAGGAGAAAATTGGGGTCAATGAACTAACAGAGTTGAATAGCTCGTCATAAGGAGTCCTTTAGTGGCATGTTCAAGCACATATATTTTATAATAAGTACAGCTACAATAAATGTTTGCCCTTCTGATATTGCAGGAACAAAGATTTTCACAGTCCCTGAGCAGAAGGCAAAGCATAGTTGCCTAAGGCTCACAAACTGGTAGAATCAAGTTGCTAATATTACTAAAGCCCCAAGATGAAAGTGTTACTGGAGGCCATATACTTCATTTCAGTTTTCACAGGGAAATCCAATGTCCTCAATGAGAATTTTACAACCCAGTGGAGATTGTTCAGCAATAGAAAGTTCCCAGATCTAAGTTAAGGTTATACCTTCAGAATGACAATCCATTTTTCTCTTCACAGAGTTAGATTGTACAGTAATACTGGCTATCATTTCCACAGGCAGCACAAGGACAAATAATTAGAATCTTTTTTTAAAAAAAAAGTAATTGAATGCTTTTATCCAAAATTTGAGATGCAGTTATCCAACCAACCAATGCTTACAAAAATTCCTATATTGGTGGGAAATGTGCATAAGATTAATATATTCGTGGCAGGAATATTGGGGGGGGGATGCATTATATTAAGAGAAATTGTTTGCAAATATGTGCACACTAGTCAAAACTGCATCTGAAAGGGTTTATTAGAAGAAATTCACACTACAATGCAGAAAATTAATGAAGTTTTTAAAATTCATCATCACCACCACCACCACAAATTCCTGCAGAAAAGTGGAGAACTGAATTTAAGATTGGAAAAATGAGAAACTGAAATAATTTTTAAAAAGTTTTTCCATTCTCAACTAAGACCAAACCCCTACTTTCATCTATTTGCTCTTGGGACTAAATTTACTTGTGATGATGTACAACAAAGATATTGGGACCATAATCAGTATAATGCTTTCATGTTTTGTGAAATTGCTCACATTTTGCACCATTCCTCAATGTTAATTAAATTTATGTACCATGTGATTGTAGATAATGTATAGTTCAGGCAAATCATTTTTTTATTGGACAGAGAAAGCTTCTGCAATAAATTATGGCATGATCATGCAGTTCCTGTGCATAAGTAGCTTCAATTTTGTTTTATCTACTTATAAAATAAATTTGCCATAGTTTACATTGTTCAATTGTGTACTTTAATATGGTTTGCTTATTTGCTTTGTGAGCTGGCTAGAGAACCTCCATTATGGAACATATATGCAGTTGTAATAAACAAACTAAATAGAAATAAATAATGGGAAGGATGCTGAAAAGGCAATTCCTTTTTTCCAATTCCTGAATTTTGATTCAGCATTGGAGTTATTAGGAAAGGAATTTAGGTATCATTATAGAGAATGAAGTTTTTTTCTAAATAAAAGCTAAAGAGTGGAAGCTTTTCAATTAGGTGATAAAGGCAAGCAAATGGGAATTAGAGGGTTATGTTCAGAGGCGGGATAGCTTTGATTAGCAGATGTTGGCTACAAACCACAGATGATGGTTTGTGAGTTTCCCAGGGGCTTCTTGCTCAACACTACTAGAGAGAAAAGAGTAGATTAGACATTACTGCGGTTTAATCCAGTACAGTAGTTCTTATTATGTTCTGTTGCAAACATCAGACACAAGGTGGCAAACTTACTCTAGAGGATCCAAAATTGTAATTTAGCCCTTAGGATACGAATTAATCTGATCATCCCGTTGAAAGAAAAACAGCAGCCTTTGCCCACAGCTGTTTCTTTTTAAATCTCTCCCTATGGACAGTGATTAAAAATATGAGTGGTGCTCCAGGTCTGGATCCTGTTAACCACTGCTTAGCCACCTTGATGACCTATTTGTGTTTTTCCCCATCAGTCACAAATACATTGTTGAGATCAGTTTCACACACACAATTTTTATTACTGCTAACTTCCACTTTAAAAAACAAAACATTTACCTTTCAATTTTTAAATTTCCCTCCTCATTTTTTCTCCACAGTATACAATTCAAAAGCCTAATATTTTCACTCAGTTACTATTACTCTGAACAACAGCACTGCATAATAGTGTTACTGTCCCTGTTAGAAGGTAGCTATGCACAATTACAATTTCACCCCCTAACCAAGTCCTTGCTAATCACCCTATCACTCTCCTTCCCCAGGAAACATACAAGTCACAAAACTAGGAGGACTTTGCATGCATTATTCAACTTCACTTGGAAGTCCTTCAGGCTTCTCTCAAGGTGCAGCCATGATTTTCAAACTGGTCCAGCAACAAGTATTGCCTCAGGTTCCCAACAACCAGCTGCACAGAGCCTTGCTCACTACTTGACACATGTCCTTCAGCTCTTTGCCCCAGTTTTATCAGATCCTATGTTGGATCTTCAGCTTCCCTTCAGCTATCAACCTCTACTCTTTCTCCTGATTCCCTTGAGGCTTCTGCCTAAGTCCTTCAGTATTCCACACTAATAAACTTCAGCTTCAAAGCTGCTACTCTTTCTAACCAGTACTGAAACTGGCCTTTTATTTACACCAGCCAGTTCCCTCAACACAATCACTACCATTTGGGTGAAATCTCACTGTCTTATCAGACTATATTTATGAGCCTATAAAAGGAGGTAAAATGTATACTAAATGACAAATTAACATTGACCACCCTTTTGATATATTTGATTCTGAAGTTAAAATCAAAGACCTCTTCAATCATAGCTATCCCCTTGTTAACACGAGGCTACAGTGGCAGTCTAACTGACATTTTACTGCCCGCTAGTCTATCTTTGCCACAATGGTGTTGTTCAGACATTACAGTAAGCTTAACTATAGTTTACTGGAACTAGAAAATGAACTCATGCTCACTTTGCTACTCCCTGGTCCACTGGGCTCACTGTGGCACAACACCTAAGCCATGAGTTTAGTGTTACATGTGAATGCAACCACTAGCTCCTATCAGGGACAAAAGTCAGTTTAATGCACATTTAACTAGTTACAAACAGCATCTTGTTTGAACTGGTATAATATTCATATGCTAAGTGTTACCTCATAAACATTATTATGTATATAATAACAATACAGAAGGGGTAGGGAAATAGATTATACTGGGTTGATAGATGTAGATTCTTGGAATTAGTACATTAGCCTAACATATTGCATTTTGGTTCCTTCATGATACACATTCAGAAGAGCCAACATTAAAGTTAATGCATTCTCATTAACACCAATTTCAAAGCAGCCTCTATTGGTCACTGTTTCAAAAGGCTACCAAAATAGGCAATAAATCTCACATTTGATTTTTTTATTATTATTACCTTCATAATAATAATACTGGTTTTGTGTCTTGCAGCTAATTATTTCCAATCTTATGTAGGCTGCATAAGAGTAAATTCTGTTGGGTTCAATAGAATTTACTTCCAACTTATCTGTTCAGAATGAGAGTGTGAGCCTCTCAAAGCATGATCTTCAAATTGTTCTAGATCACAGTTGATCAACACAATGCAACAAAATATTCTTGTTGCTGATATTAGTATTATATATATATATACCAGCTACCATGGTCAGTGGAGCAATGGGGAAGTGAATGGCTGCTCTCCTGTCCTTAAAACACAGCGTGTTGCTGGCACTTACCGGAGGGAGAGAGGAGAGGCATGGGGAGCTCAGCACTGAGTGAGTGCATAATGGCAAGTGCACCAAATTGGCTCCAATGTGCTCCACTGCAAAGTGCCAAGCTCCCCATGCCTTGCACCTCTCTGTCCAGGAAGCACCAGCAGCACCCTGTGTTTGAAAGCGTGGAGAACAGTGGAGTTCCACCTCCAGTGCTCCACCCACTGCTACTGTATACCACTTACAATAAATCAAAGATTTAAAATACCCCACATTTAAAATGTACAATGAAACAAGCCCATTAAAAAGCATAAAAATCAAACACTTAAAAAGTAATTAAAACAGTTGGATCAAGAAGCTGAAGGGAATGCTTGCCTTAATGGTTATGTGCCTTTCAAAAGCCAGGAGAATGCCAATATGGATGAACCCTTTAATGTCTCAGCAGAGAGGGCATTTCACAACACTGGCACCACCAGCCTGCCTCCATGTTGCCACAAACAGATAACTATCAGGGCACAGCAAAACTAAGTGGGCCTCACTTAATGCAGTGGAAAGGGAAAGGGAATTTTTTCAGGTAACATGATGTTATGAAGCCAACACTGGAAATGTAGGGGAAGAGTAGGGGAATGGTGGTAGGTGGCAGTGGCAGACCTTGGGGTCTCAAATTTCAGTGATGTCTTGTGCAATGCCAATATACACCTTCCATTGTATATTGTTGAAGCACCCCCTGCAGCATCCCCAGGGCTCTGCACCAAGTGCAACCAAA